CATGGAGTGGAGTTATGGAGTGGAGTTTGGAGTGGAGTTTGGAGTCAAATTTTGGAGTCTGATTTTTTTAAAATTGATTTTTGCTATTTAGAACAAAATTCTTCAGGTGACAACTCTGTAGTCTTATTATATTCCCATGTTGCTTTAAAGCACCAGCTATTGCAACATTTAACGTAACTCCTGTTACTAAAATTAGGTTACGAGTATCTTGTTGAATCACCTTAAAATCTGCTCAAAAACAGACAAATAAATGTTTCTTGCTACTTTTTTAGATGGTGTCATTCATGCCTGTTTGATACTCCGTAATCCATTTTAAGGTATTTTTCTGCTCCTTTGGCCTGAGATTTTCCGATTGTTTAAGCAAATATATTCTTTCTTGCAATACCCCCAAAATAAGAGTTACTGAATGTGAGCTTTACATTGATCAATCTTGGTATAAATATCAGATTTAATTTGTCTTACTGATGTATAGAATACAGATACAACATTCTTCAGGTGACAACTCTTTAGTTTTATTATATTCCCATATTGCTATTAGAAGTGATGCGTGTGTTCCTTGGAAAAGTGTAGATGAACATTTTAGTTTATATTTTTGTAATTTAAAACTAGAAATATTTCCATAGGAGATGAATGCCCCGCCCAGTGTATATTAGTAATGCAACATGAAAATTTGTATTAGTGTATGAAGTTTGAAGCGAATATCTTGAATAGTTTCTTTAAAATTGAAATTGAAATCTAAAAAAAATTGGATATAGATGATAACTTCTCACCAAATTATGCATAAGTGCGTAAGCTTACATAAAAATATCTTAATTTTTTTAAACTAAGCAAAATGCAAATTAAAGAAAAGTGAGGTCAAGGTCACAGGAAAGCTTAAGGTTAAAAGATTTCATACAGTTGAATAACCCTCACTAATAAGTATCAGCATATTAAGTTTGATAAACATATCTTGAATGGTTTATTTAAAACTGAGGTAAACACTGATTTAAGAAAAGTGATCAAGGTGAAAAAATGTTGATGCAGTTCATAGCTCTCATCAGTATGTATTAGCATATGAAGTTTGATGAAAATGTCTTGAATTCTTTATTTAAAATTGAGTTGAACATTATTTATAAGAAAAGTGAGGTCAAGGTCAAAAGAAAGGTCAAGGTAAAAAAAAAATCAGTATGTATCAGCGTATGAAGTTTGATTACACTATCTTGAATGGTTTCTTTAAAACTGAGCTAAACACTAATTTAAGAAAAGTAGGTCAAGGTCAAAGAAAAGGTCAAAGTCAAAAAATGTTTACACAGTTGAAAAGCTCTCACCAATACCTATCAACATATGAAGTTTTATAAAAAAAAAAATCTTGAAAAATATCTTTGAAACTGAGCTTTGAACTGAGCTAAATGCAAAGCCTGAAGGAAGGAAAGAAGGACGGAAGACAGACATGACAAACTCTATATGCCCCGGCCATATTCATGGCGGGGCATAAAAAATATTATGAAGTAAACTAGTGGTATGCCTTTTTAAATTTTTGAATTATTAAAAAATATCAATTTTGACGATTTTTCATAATAATCATTAATCAAATTTCTTAGTAATATCAGTTAGAGCTTTTTTCACAACCAAATTTATACTTATGAAAGACATTGTATCAGTCATATTTGAAAGCTTATGTTCTAGGATTTGAGATAATAACAAATATTCATTTAAGATATTGATTGTTAGAACAAGTCAGTCAAGATCACATTATCTATTACCTAAATCTCAGGATTGATATTATATTAATGTTAATTTTTATTTAGACAGATTAATCTTCTGGTCCACCTCTTGAAGTTAAATCTTTTTCCTCGAAAATGAATTACCCATAATTATTGTACTGCATACTGATGTGAATAAATTGGTCTGTTACAATTGCCTAACACTGCCTGCATCCTCTTGTATAAATACCTCTTGACAGATTACGTGGGACATACAGTGGCTGCACCAAATTCCCGCAAATTCTTTCAGATAAGGTCGTGGGTATTAATTTCACTCTCATTGTCAAAAAGTCTGTTATCTAAAACAGTGACAGTTTATTCTATGTTTTAATCAAATTTAACTGTTACATAAATAATGATCACCATAGCTTTCAACACATAATTGGAAGGTGATAAAACCCTTTGAACTAAATTTTAGCTTTCTGTCATATCTTTGTTATGTCTGTTAAAACTTTTATAGGTTTTTGACCACACAGCTGAACAATGTAGGTTAATATATTGTTACAAGGCAGGTTGTTTGTAGAATAAGATTGATGATTTTTCTCTCTATATAAAATACTGTAGATTTGAAACCATCAATTTTGTATCTTAAAATGTGAATTTAAAAAAAAGATTATCAATAATTCACATACATTTACTTAATTAATTAAATAATATTATGATACTGTATTATGAATACAATACATTGGTGACTCACAATTTTTATCAATTTAGAAGTTAATGGGAAGGAATGCACTGTGATGCTAGTTAAGGGATGATAATATTTATATAAACTCCTAAAGAATGCAATGATTTTAATGCATGTATGCTGTTCAAGTTAATTCAACACTCGATCACATACTCCAAAATTAATGGTCATCGTTCACAGTTTAATCAGCATCTCTGAAACTGGGTGTGAGGATTCTGGCTTTTCTCTATAAGCCAGTGTAGTCTTACATAGCTTTCTCTAACAAATAGAAAACTGACAATTTATTCAATGTTTAATAAAGATAAACTGGACTAAAAACAATTAACAAATTGCTTTCACTTGAAGTGTGATATGACCCATATAGTTGATTTGTTGATTTTGAGGGTGAGGGAGTGACAACCCAAGGAAAAGGGAGAGAGATTAGTATGGTAATTGCTATGTCGCTGAAGTAAGGGAGTGAGTGAACCTTTTAGTACACCATATAATAGTGGTATAAAGTGTGAAACTTATTTTAAAACTGATTTCTTTTTTTCTTTTTTTTTTGGATTTAACATGGAAAGTAATGAATAGGTGAGTGTATATACTGATACTTATAAATTGCTTTAAACACTGAACCTAATAGCTCTTGATAGGTTTGTTAACACGTCGAATTAAACTGTATTTAAACAATCAGTAAGACCGACTATATCTGTTGATTAATTATATTCAACAGTTTCCAAATATTTTTAAAGAACAGAGGTTATCTGGTCAGTATCATGTCTGTCTATTCAATACTGATGTAATTTTCTAAAGTTACAAATACTTATTTAAGTACGTAACTTACTTACTTAAGTTTCAGAAACTTACAAATTTTAATTAAGTCATAGTACACTGTACCTATGAATTGTCAATCTGTTTAGTTACAAGACATGAAACAGCAAACAAATGTTCAAAAAAGAATTAAAGACTTTCATACTAATGCAATTTCCTGAACATCTTTTTCCATCCATGTTTAAAAAAAAATATTAGACTCCAAAATTTGACTCCAAACTCCACTCCAAACTCCACTCCATAACTCCATTCCATGCCTCCAGTCCATGAATTACACGGTGCCGTCTTACACAGCTTTCACTATCAATTAGAAAACTGACAATTTATTCAATGTTTAATAAAGATAAACTGGAGTAAAAACAATTAACACATTGTTTTCACTTGAAGTGTGATATGACCCATAGTTGATTTGTTGTTTTTGAGGGTGAGGGAGTGACAACCCAAGGAAAAGGGAGAGATTAGTATGGTAATTGCTATGTCGCTGAAGTAAGGGAGTGAGTGAACCTTTTAGTACACCATATAATAGTGGTATAAAGTGTGAAACTTATTTTAAAACTGATTATAATTTCTTTTTCTTTTTTTTTTTTTTTGATTTAACATGGGAGGTAATGAATAGGTGAGTGTATATACTTAAAAAAAAAGAGTTCTTATAAATTGCTTTAAACACTGAACCTAATAGCTCTTGACAGGTTTGTTAACACGTCGAATTAAACTATATTAAAACAATCAGTAAGACCGACTATATCTGTTGACTAATTATATTCAACAGTTTCCAGATATTTTTAAAGAACAGGGGTTATCTTGTCAGTATCATGTCTGTTTATTCAATACTGGTGTAATTTTTAAAGTTACAAATACTTACTTAAGTTTCAGAAACTTACAAATTTTAATTAAGTCATTGTACCTATGAATTGTCAATCTGTTTAGTTACAAGACAAGAAACAGCAAACAAATGTACAAAAAAGAATACTTTCATACTAATGCAATTTCTTGAACATCTTTTTCCATTCATGTTTTAAAAAAAATCTTAGACTCCAAAATTTGACTCCAAACTCCTCTACATAACTCCATTCCATGCCTCCAGTCCATGAATTACACGGTGCCAAACTATTTATATCAATTTGGAATTTCCTGATCTATTTTTAGTCCCATGTAGGAGAAAAATTCTTGGATGGTCACGTGTTGGTGAACATAACGTAGTATATTTACTACAATTTTTAAATCTCAGCAAATCAGACAGCAAGGAATTTTTTAATCATACAATAATACACGTAATACTAGTATCTGTTGTCGGAAAAATTAACCTGTACGCACTTATTTGTTAATTAAATTCATTTTTAGTGTCCTATTCCCTTATGCTTAACCCAAGGTCACATTCTATCAAATTTTCACTTTATTTTCAACAAAAAATAGTCTGGATAGATATGTCTTAGATAATTATATTAAAATTTGAAAGTTTAAGAAACTACAAGTATTAGACAAAGAATTTAAACTCGCCCCGTGACTTATAATGTGAGGATCCAATTAATATTGTATGTTACAATAATTATTAATCTAATACTGGTGTACGAAGGTCTGAATGATTACAAAGATGGTGTGTTTACATTCACTGAAAATCTCGAGTATTCTTACTGACAAACATTTGACAAGTGGTGGCAGAAATATGCCACCATACACAATGATACCTGAGCTAAACATTGTTATAAATAGCACATGGGATAACCAAGTGAACAGTGGAAACCCTAACAATATTAAAACAAAGTAAATCCGTATCATATCACAGTGTTCTACTGTCAATTTCGCACACACAGCCGTATCGTTGTGTTTACCAGTAAACAAACATGGCTGGCAGGGATTGATACGGTTATCAATACACTTCAGAAATCCAGGCACACCATCTTGAAGGTGAAGTATGACACTTGACTTGTGTATGTGATATTTTCTGATTTATATGACGTTGAATCTGTATCTAAACAAATAATATTATATATATTTATGTAAATGAAAAATTTCGATAGCTTATATAATGATTTATAGAAGCTAGAAGCTTATATATATACATATATATATATATATATATATATATATATATATATATATATATATATATATATATATATATATATATATATATATATATATATATATATATATATCCATTGAAAATGTTGCAATCTTTTGAACTCTTAATGTATATATGCCACAATTCATGTGACATGAACACAACTTCTTCAAAATGATAGGTATACATGTAAACCGTGATGATTAACTTTATTATGATTTAGATGTCAAATTCAATACACCAGGGTTTGGTTTACAGATTTTTTATGAATCAATGTTACGATCGACCGCCTTCAATTTCCAGTAACGAAATGTGAAAGCGAAAGAAGAATTATACTTTGGATTTAAAATGAAATTATAATTGATATTTTCCGGCGATTAAAAAATTAAAAAAAAATTACAAATAAGATGTATCATAATATCATTCTGTAGATTTGCTAGATCAATGTTCGTACTGAACGAGTTTTACTGTACATCTGTTTTAAATCTTTGTGCTTGTTCAATGGCACAAATTTTCATGAATTAGGGAAATAGATGTATCACATACAAATTAACTTTTAGGGAAATTAATTGAATGAGGAATATTTAAGTTTTCTGATGACCAATCAAGGCTATATAATCTTTCTTTATGAAGCACACTTAAGGTCACACGCAAAGGACATGTATCAATCACATTTTTGATAATTTTTCAAATTACTTGATTTATAATAAAATCATTGTACAACTAGTGTTATCTTTTCTTACCAGGTATTACAAAATGGCTTCTGTGAAGGACTCTCGTTCCCACCAGAAGTTAATAGAATGCTTCCAAAAACTGGGACTGAATGCTACAGAAGCAGAGATTTTCCAAGTAGAATTATGCATGGTTTTCTCCGATTCAAAGAAATCGATAGAGGTCACAGACACCATCAAAGAGCTGCAAAATATGACTTTCGACTATGGAGATGTATTTCACAAACTTGCCATTGCAATTAGTATTGCTTCTAAGGTAGCTAGGGTTTCTCCTTCAACTGCAGGACTTACCACTACATTCTCTGTTTTGTCAAATTTATTTTTACAACTTGGAAACACAATGAAAACGACTGTTCCAAAAGCAGCTAAGGACGATGCCTATGCTGCTATTGAACGCTATCAGGATTCAGAATTAAGAGCGGATGCCAAAGGTTTAGAAAAACTGTTTTTCAATACAAATGCCTATCTAAGTTGCATAAAATCAAATGCCCCTAAGAGTCTGGTAAACAGATTAGAGGATAAATACCCAACAAATGATGCTGTGAGGTTTCTTGGTAAATTAATGGCGAAAATAGAAGAAGTTCTGCATTCGGGTATAAAATCCGCCCGAAGAGCATCAGCGTATATAAATTTGTATTCTAGACTTGCAGTACTCCGATCATTGGTTTTATGGCAATTGTTCGTCATTAAATATTGCAGTGGTTCTGATCAGTCCAGTACCCAAGGCGTTCACGCCATGATCAACGAAAGTTATAAGTCAGACCTCGAAGTGGTGAAATTTGTTACTGAATCAAAATTTGAAAAAGCTGTATTTTTGACTATTTTCAACCCATCAGAAAATGAACATTTCCTTCATCTTCTTCGAGTAAACCAAATTCGGATTCCATGTTTAGGTCAGGATAAACAGTTCTTTACACAAACTCATTTGATTCGTTCGTCCAATTGGCCAACATGGAAAATGGAAATATCAAAACATGGCGGGCCTATTGGTGGAAGCAATAAAAGATCTGACGCCTGTGAATTAAATTTGGAGCCAGTAAAATCCCGAAATCTTGACAACATATTTTACATTAGATCGAAAAGGAAGCCCTCGAGTTACATCTACTTTGGTCCTAAATTTGGGTTTTGTTGGTCTGTCTCAAAGCGACCTGGTCCTGAAGGACAATGGAAGGTCATCAAGCTAGAAGCAGATAGCGGCATGCCTCAATACCTTATTTCCCCTCTTCAGTGCCCATGCTATTTTATATACATGACTTCAACACCAAGAGGATACGTGAGGGGCTCGACTGATCTAAAGGTCATAAAGGAACAGGGATTGTGGGAAATTCTTGATATATAGCTTACGACCGAGACGTTAAAATAGACAACACAAAAACCTGAACAGCGTAGAGTTTTGCTTGTTCAATCAATTTTTTTTGGCTTTTTAGAGAAGTACACTCCACACTTTTTGTAACCATTACACTTTTTTCTTGAGCAACTTAAATATTAAAATATCCATTTTAATGTAACATTATAAGTATAATATAAAGTTTATGTTAACATGGTTAATATTAATAAAATAAGAAAATAAAATATAATGAAATTCTCAGCGTAATTTTGAACTTTTAATATGCGATGACTTGCAATCAAACCTCATTTTATTGAGGAAGCTCTAAACAGTGTGCACTGAAGAAATCTTATTCCTTTGTAATTTTATGTGTTTAGAATGATCTGTCTTTTGATGTGAAATAGATAAACAGCAATCTACAGTTAAAACACAATTTGAAGTAGATTATAAAAAATATTATATAAGACCAAAATAAGGTATTCAAATACGTTATTTGCAATTATTTTTCCAAAGTATCTAAACAAGAATGATTTCTATAAACAAATACTTTCTTGTCTTAGAGAAAAATGTTTGGTGCACTATGGTGAAAATGAACTAGATATACTCCATATGCATATATTTATACGGTACATTTTTAGCTCACCTCAACGAAGTTGGGGGAGCTTATGTAATACCCTCAGCGTCGGTGTCGGCGTCCCAGGTTAAGGTTTTTGGAGGAGTTTTCTTTTCAAGTACTTCTATGGCCTATATTAGTCAGAGATGCATGGAGGATGCTTCTAGTGTGTTTCATTGTACCAGTCAAGGTTTCAGATGCTGCAATATATGCTAAAGAATGACCAGGTTAATGTTTTTGGAGCAGGTTAAAGTTTTTGGAGCAGGTTAAAGTTTTTGGAGCAGGTCTCATTTCCGAGTTACTAAAAGCCATATATTGACCAAACTTGCATGGATGATACATCTAAGGATGCACACCACTGAACTTGCTTCGGATGCTGGATCTGACCTACATTTTCCAGATGAGTGACTAGGTTAAGGTTTTTGGAGTAGATCTCATGCATTTCCAAGTACATGTAACTATAAGCACTATATTGATCAAACTTGCATGGATGATACATCTAAGGATCCACACTACTGGACTTGCCTCGAATGCTGGATCTGACCTATATTTTTCAGATGAGTGACCAGGTTAAAGTTTTTGGAGCAGATCTCATATCCAAGTAACTATAAGCCCTATATTGACTAAACTTGCATGGATGATACATCTAAAGATGCACACTACTGGACCTGCTTCGGATGGTGGATCTGACCTATATTTTCCGAATGAGTGACCAGGTTAAAGCTTTTAGAGCAGATGTCATTTCCAAGTAACTACATGTATAAACCCCATATTGACCAAACTTGCATGGATGATACATCTAAGGATTCACACTACTGGACTTGCTTCGGATGCTTGATCTGACCTATATTTTCTGGATGAGTAACCAGGTTAAAGTTTTTGGAGCAAATCTCATTTCCAAGTAACTATAAGCCCTATATTGACTAAACTTGCATGGATGATACATCTAAGGATGCACACTACTGGACTTGCTTCGGATGCTGGATCTGACCTATATTTTCCGGATGAGTGACCAGGTTAAAGTTTTTGGAGCAGATCTCATTTCCAAGTAACTATAAACCCTATATTGACCAAACTTGCATGGATGATACATCTATAAGGATTCACACTACTGGACTTGCTTCGGATGCTGGATCTGACCTACATTTTCCGGATGAGTAACCAGGTTAAGGTTTTTGGAGCAGATCTCATACCCAAGTAACTACATGTATAAGGCTTATCTGAACCAAACTTGCATGGATGATGCATCAAGGGACGAACAATCTCAAAACTTGCTTCGGATGCTGGATTTGACTAACATTTTCTGGATGAGTGACTAGTTTTAAGTTTTCAGATAAGTCTATTCCCAAGTAACTGCAAGCCCTATCAGACCAAAATTGCATAAATGTTGCATCTAGGAATGCACACTCCTAGATTATTAGTTTAGTGTGGGACTTTGCCTTACATAAAAAGACAACATTCGTTGAGGTGAGCTCTGTAATGTCTGATTACCTATGTTTTTCATTGGATTTAGGGCTTCCTTAACTAAATATATCTTGCTGTTTCCTGACAGTATAAGCCCTAAAAAAAATTGTGTGTTTCGGGTAACACTGATGAAAAAATTAGGGTAGGTAGGTAGGGAAATTTTTTTTTTGGATTTTTTTTAATGTATGACCACTGAAATATAGATAGAAAATCATGAGAATATTATTCTCTATTGTATTTCACTCCAACATGTTTGAAAAACATCAGACAACTAAATTTTATAGTTTCATATCCTTTTAATTTTCTCTTCATTTCAGCAAATATGAGTGGTTAAGTTTCAAATATGTGTTCGACCCTTGTGTTTATGACCTGAGTGGTTTCGTTCTGAATCAAAAAGATAACAGTTAATGGATAATTTAAAATTCTTTTATTAAATGTCTCTTCTACAAGGGAAAATTTTCCTTTTAACACAAATCACATGTTCTTAATCATTAACTGATTAAGATGGTTTTAGTTATATATTTACATTTCGGATGCAGTTTGAATTCAGAACAATATCATCTTTATTTAATTATACAATTCATAATTGTAAATTTGAAGCAATTGTATTTTTACCAGTGAAGGTTTTTTGATCTTCAAAGAAGGCTGTAATTGTGTGAATGTTAATTATCTAGTTTTTTGTTTGTTTGTTTGAACATATTTTATTGCATAAATAATGTACAAATGGTTTGAACACAAGTTCTAGCAACTTACGATGTTCTCACCATACATGTAAATGGCTACAACTGTCAATGTCTATAGAAAAAAAAACTTTAATATACAAACATGTTTGTTTTAAACATACATTCTTTACATGATATCTAACTAACCAGAGTTTTAGTGTTAGGTTGTAATAATTAACCGAATCTACCAGAATCTCTTATAAATTTTTGTACAGATTTGAAAAAAAAATAATTTTATTGATTTCAACATTTTGCGACTAGTTATTGTTTACACTGCAGCTTGTCCCTGCGTTTGTGGGTTCTTTCCAAAACAATAAGTTTTTCTTCGAAGAAAAAAGCGATCTAAAATATTTTACACAGTTATCAAAATCTGTGATTTTTAAGAAAAAAATCTTTTAGAAAGATAGAAAATGGCTTTTACTAATGTACTTATTCATTATTCGTCCTATTTGTATGTCCGAAAAAATCTAATTGGCACAAATATCTATTAAGCCTTTTGCTCTCTTTTGACAGCTATCATTGTTTACCACACACCTGTGCGTAAACAAGTTTAGTTCACTTTCACCTTTGTGTTTGTATACACGTTGGCTTAGACATGCGTAGTACGATTACGAAACCATGACTGTCCATGAGGGGGCACCGTGTAATTCATGGACTGGAGGCATGGAGTGGAGTTATGGAGTGGAGTTTGGAGTCAAATTTTGGAGTCAAATTTTGGAGTCTAATATTTTTTTTTTAAAACATGAATGGAAAAAGATGTTCAGGAAATTGCATTATTATGAAAGTCTTTTAAATTAATTTTTTTTGTACATTTGTTTGCTGTTTCTTGTCTTGTACTAAACAGATTGACAATTCATAGGTACTATGACTTAATCAAAATTTCTAAGTTTCTGAAACTTAAGTAAGTAAGTACTTAAGTAAGTATTTGTAACTTTAGAAAATTACATCAGTATTGAATAGACAGACATGATACTGACAAGATAACCCCTGTTCTTCAAAAATATTTGGAAACTGTTGAATATTATTAATCAACAGATATAGTCGGTCTTACTGATTATTTTAATACAGTTTAATTTGACGTGTTAAAACCTGTCAAGAGCTACTAGGTTCAGTGTTTAAAGCAATTTATAAGTATCAGTATATACACTCACCTATTCATTACCTTCCATGCTAAATTAAAAAAAATTATAATCAGTTTTAAAATAAGTTTCACACTTTATACCACTTTTATATGGTGTACTAAAGGGTTCACTCACTCCCTTACTTCAGCGATATAGCAATTATCATACTAATATCTCTCCCTATTCCTCACTCGGATGACTCCCTCACCCTCAAAAACAACAAATCAAATATGGGTCGTATCACACTTCAAGTGAAAGCAATGTGTTGTTTTTACTCCAGTTTATCTTTTTTAAACGTTGAATAAATTTTCAGTTTTCTGATTGATAGTGAAAACGAGAAACAATGGAATGTCAGATTCAGCATAAAACACCTAATGACCTTAAAATGTCAACAAAGGGGGTTGGGGGCAGCTAAATTGTGCTTTTGATTTCATTTTGAAAGATAACAGATGCAGAGTGAAATGAAATATCTAACTTAAGTCAGATTTATCATCGACCCGCACAACTATCTCACACACACAAAATTTAAAATGTTGACAGATTTAATTACTACAATACTATTACCTGAAAGAAATGCTTACTCAGTTTTTGCTTAAAATAATAATGTTGTGATCAAATGATACAATTTTATACAAACTGGGACTAATCATTTACCGGTAATCTTCTAATACTTTAAAAAAAAAAAAAGATTAAAAAAGACATTATTAATGTTTTGTTCTTTGTGATTTAGTAGTTCTGGTAATATTATTGGTAATATTATTGGTGAAATTTATTGTCAATGTTATAATAGCTTTCCTTACTACATATTTAACAAAAATATAAATATCTCATTTATAAATAATTATTTATAAATACATGTATATATATAACTTTTTGTTTATACTTTGATAATGTAAAAATCAGAAAATAATTTGAAGGAATCTGTCTTACCAGTTAATTGTGTACCTTTCAGCTGTTGATATTTAATTAAATCTGTCATGACTTTATGGGTTAGCAGTGCCGGATCAGTGATAAATCTGTCCTAAGTTATATGTTTTGATTTCACTCAGCACTTGTTTTCTAACAAAATGAAATCAAGGCAAAAGCTGCCCCTTAGTTGACATTTTTAGGTCATTGTTTTTTTTTAATTCTGTTGTTTCTCGTTTCTTGTTTCTCATTTCGTGTTTTACACATACCCAGACTTACACTGGCTCATAGAGAAAAGACAGAATCCTCACACCCAGTTTCAGAGATGCTGATTAAA